ACCGATACGTAATATCGGATCGGTCCATCTCTAGTTTGTTTGTGGGCTCATGAGCTGCTACAATGCAATTGCATGAGTAAACCTGAATATTTCCAAAAGCATTATCAAATTAATGTCTGTATTGACAGTTTTTGGGGTTTGTTTTTTTTAACACAGAATATACTTGCCGATATAGCTGTGTGCTACAATTCTAATGATGCTGCTGCTAATGCAGTGTTTATTATGATTGCTGCCTTTTCAGGAAGTAAAACAATCCACAACACACAATATCGCAAAGTCCTCTGTAGACTCTGTGTAATAGAGACAAATAGTAACAATCCATCATATAAAAGCCTGCTTCAAATATTGAAATGCATTCAGTGGGTCAATAAAGCCATAGAACGAGGTGAATGTATGTTTGTGAATGTATGTTGTGTGGTTTTCTTCTTCTGTGTGAAAGGGTGCATTAGAAGTGTGTAATCCTCAAAGAGACAGTCGACTCTTAGTATTTATTGTAACTTACTCCATATAAATTCCTCGTACAATGCTGTTAGCTGCACTGTCGTGTAAATAATTTTCCATTCAGAATAAATTCTAAGCAGAGAAACCTTTATAATAAAACCTAGAGTTAATCAGTCTCCAAATGATTCAAATTAGCAGCAGAAAGTAAGAGAGCTTACCTGCCTTAGCCTGCTTCTGCCAGTGTCTGAGCTCTCTGTGTAGGAGCAGACATAACTCACTTTAGGTTTGTGTTTCCCTGAAAATGAAACTAAAGCAGCCGGAAAGGCTAGCGCTAACGGGAAGTTTCATAATACAGCTGTTTGCATGAAACCTCGTCCTCATGGAGAAAAACAGAACAGTATTTTAGCATTTTAGTTGGGTAAACAGCCAAGTGACACTTTCATATGTAAGTGCCACAGCTCTCGACCTTCCTTTTTTTGTTTCTTTGTGTTGTTTTGTTTTTAAAGCAGATTATTGGCCTCAAACACTTTTTTCCTTTTTTTTTTTTTAATCTTTTGCTATTATCAGAAAGTGTAGAAATCTACGTAGTGCATTGCAAACCTCATATCAGCTATGTTGTAAAACATAGAAGAGCCAGATGAAATTGAATCAAGTGAATCTTGTCTGTTATAGCCCAGTACCTAACCAGGCCACACAGTTAATTTACTTTTTAAGCAAGACTAAAATATCAAATACAAAGTTTGAGTCAACACAGTTGTAACACATCACATAAAATGACTGTCCCCAATTAAAAATACAGTTTAATGAGCACAACATTGTAAAAATGCAATACAATACCAAAACAGTAACACAACACATCTCTGTCATTCATCTGTCAGAGTAATTGTTCGTTCTCCTCCCTGGAGGAATCTGCTGGGAGTCACTACTGTTGATTAGACTTGATTAGATATTTGACAAATACAAATGCACAATTTTGAAGTCCACACACAAAATGTTGATTTTTGTGACTTGCTGTCAAAATGATTTATTACAAGCATGCTATAACCAGCCTGTCTTTTAAATCTAACACAAAATAAACTCATAGTCCAGGTTAAAACAAAAATGAAAAAAAGATAATGACATGGTTGCAAATTGTACAGCAGAAACTATTTGTAATGTAGGCAAACTCAGATAACTGCCCTGTTGTCCCGGTCAAGACAAAGATGCTCCAGGTTCTCTGGTCCTGAGCACAATTTCAGTTACAGATTAAACTATACTCTGTTGTTAGGGCTGTGTGATATGACCAAAATCTCATATCCCGATATTAAGACATCTATCGTCCGATAGCGATATAAATCACAAAAATGTAACAATTTCTGTAAATTCTGTGAATCTCGGGCAGCTCGACTTGCGTGAAGTGTTTCCAGCTGGGCGTTG